CAATAGGTATGTCATTATTCCAAATTTTCTACGTTTTCTCATTTAATTTCCGTTGTATTGCCGACTCCTGCTCTGGCCCCATCGCAGATCGAGCTCTCTAGGTTGCCGGGCCAACCGTCACAAACCGAGTTTTGCTTTGCTTTTGCATCACTGTCAGATGTCAACGAGGTGTTCCCTTCCGTTCAACGTTTTGGAATTGATATTTTATTTAAACAGCTAGAGGCGTCATATCGCTTTCCAATTTAACTAGTTTTTCACCGCTTTGTTCGTTTTTTCCCGTTTAGAAACCGAATCAGAATTGTCTATTGCGGAAAATCCACCGCAGTTTTTACAAACAATCCTTAAATTGCTTCATCTCTGTATGTTATATTCTTAGAAAATTACAATAATGAAGTGGAGTATTTGAAAATTATCTCGTTTTGTAATCTGGATTAAAGTGGAAGGAAGAGACCCTCGGTTGAATTTGTTAACGCAAGATTAGGACGCAAAAAATTTCCAAAACAAACAGTGGAAACAAGAAGACGTAATAAGAGGCTCGAACAAAGATCTAGGTAACAGAGGATTGTGGGGTAAAAAAAATTAACAGAAAAGGGATTCAGTTTATCAAATGCAGAAACTGTAGATAACGAGTAACGAAGTTTTTAATGCCTCATGTTACAGGTGGATATTTAAGAGAGAAAAAATAGAAAACCTATAGAAAATCTTCTATTTAATTTTAGTAATAGGTAATTATAATATAGATAAATAGTTGTTAGAAAAGTGTACTAATTCAGTATGAAACGAGAGCGTAGATGGAAATTCCACTTGTCCATGTCCGTCGAAAAAGGGCCCTAACGAAAAATCGATTCGTTCGGAAAATTGAAGCTGGTTCAGTTTTGGAAACGGGCGATAAACACCCAACGCAGCCCGCGGCCACCATTTGCCGACATTCTCATGTTAATGAGTGGAAATTATTTCGGGCGAAGCGGAAATTCCATGTTTTCCGAAATGTTTCGGATGCCTCCGGCCGAAGGGCACTTGTGCAACATCGGATTACGGATCGAAATAACCGAAAAAAAAAATCAGTTACCTCCGCTTCGACATGCGTTCTACATTAAATTTCAGCAATTCGGTTCAACCCAGCACTCGTGAACTCGATTCGTTAGAAACTAAAATTGAGAATAAGTGTAGTTACACAAGCGCTCTATTTTCCTTACATTTGTTCTATTAGAATTCGTGGTAAATCAAGGAAAATACGAGCACTACCGAACGAGCCGCATTTTTTTAAATTACTAAATTTTATGTCTTTAATTAAGTACCCAAAATATTCTTCAAATACCTCGAATTAAATTAATTCATGCAGGTACTTCGTTTTCAACTTCCTTTTTCCCACGATAAGAAACGCGAAGACCACTCTGTATCGGTGCATGTATAGTAGAAGGATTTCGGTCCGATCGAAAGAAACAAAGAATTCGAGAAAGCAGCGTGCGTGAAACCCGCCCAACGGTACTTTCCTCCAAAATGAATGCAATTTGGAACGCTAGAATGGATTGTGTACAAAATGCACCTAACTGTTCATCGGAATCATGAGAATTAACAAGCGGGTCAAATCGATGGTTTTTTTTTCGAGCTTCGGATTTAAAACGCAGTAGTTTTTTGTCCGGGCAACCGCATAGGCAGTACCGCGTAGATATCGGGACGGTTTTGTAATTCGTACTACAATAGGTTCACTGGTTTACGGTTCTTGCGTTTTTTTTTTAAATTCATTCTTTCTACGAAATTACCCACTGATGTTTCTCGATTATTACCAAAAGAATTTGATTGACAAGAACCGTATCGACGAAATTATTCGTACACTGCCGAATAGTGAAAGTAGAGAAAAATTGAAAGGTGTGTACGAATTGAGCAAACACAAGCATCTCAATTTGCCTCGTTCTTAATTTAACTATTATGTTATTCAGCTTAGTTAGGAAACTCCAGAAACGCATAATAAATTTACCCCTTCACCATAAACATTTTTCACATTGAGCAAACCTACCTACTTATTTGTCAATATGACAAAATAATCCTTACACTATTCAAATCAAAAGGCCCTATTTAGTCATTTACATCAGTCAAAGAGATGCTTTACATAACCGAAGAAATGTTACACCTATAACCCATGAAACAAAGATTGATTAATATTGTATGACACACGATAATATGGTAGCAGCACAACAGTTCTACATAGATACACCGCGTGTATATCGATTTCTGTCACAATCACTGAAATATTCATTAATAAAAATGGAAAGCAATTTCCGAATTTCCGTTCTCGCATCAAATTAAAATAATAGCAGGAAGACACATTTCTATAACACAATTAAATTTAATCGATAATTACTAAATAGGTAATAGCCGAAACTTTCTACCAAATGGAATACGAAACGGGCAGAGTAGATATTAATAAAATAAATAGTTAATACTCTACTTGAAGAACAAAGGAAAAGTTACCCAATTATTACCTAGTATAATATATTTGAGGAATTATTAAAAGGGCAGTCAAATTCTACATTCTAATCGTAATCGTACAAAATAATTAATAGTCTAATTAAATTTGAATTTCTATTTCCAAAATAGCACTGGTAAATATTCAATAAAGGATATTCTATTAAACGACTATAAAAGGAGAATGCATAATTTTAGAAATTAATGTTGACAACGGAAGGATACAAAGCGTGTATATTTTATTGGTTCTAGAGGAAAATAGATATATCGAGGGACGCAAGTAGTGGGTAAAACAGAGGGTGATACCTGTACAGGTGAGAGTGACAGAATTTCAAGGGGGAGTTGATTAGGATATTCGCTCTCTTATACCTAGGGTAGTCAATGAGTCAATCAATAGTTAGAACAACGCATGTATATGCGCCTATACCCTTTAAAGAGCACCTTTCCGTATTATCTTTGTGCTCTACATAATTTCGGAACGAGGGTTATTGAATTTTCACTAATTAAATTTGGGCGGAATTTAAAGGGGTTCCATAATCTATAACAAAGTATATTCATAATAGCATTTTAATGAAGATACGATAATTAAATGAAATATTTAGTTTTCTGTGTTACTATAGCGCATAGCGCTGATACAAAATTAAAAAAAAATAAAGATTTTATCGTAAAAGAGCAAAGACATGAATAAAAGTCACATTAATTCAACCGCTACAAACAAAAGCAACACTCACCTGATCAAAACATGTAAGAAAGCCCGTCTAATTTCGAATTTCCAGATTCTCCATCTATTTTCCGCACAGCAAATATATCAGGTACAACGAGAAAGTAAATCGCGCCGAAAAAAAAACAACCTATTTATTCTAACATTATCACAAATATCACAACATGTACTATTTTTAACAGCGTTTACTCAACAAAAAACTATGCCAATGTGCGAATGCATTTCTAACGCCGTATAAAACAAATCAATTTTACTCGTCTAGTTTTGTACACTGACACACCAGTTCCTGCACCTCATTGGCGCATGTCAAATTTTACCTTACCAGTGCGTGTATTCCACTAGTTTTTTCGCTTGAAGCCGAACACGGAAGGTTGCGCGCCGCATATCACGGAGAGCTGCGCAGCGAAATAAAAGGGCACTCCGCCGAAATGCAGTAAGCTGTAGAAGCGGCGGCGGCGGAGGGCACGGGCGGCCGCTTCCATCAGTAGGGATATCGTTTTTTATCTCGATCAAACCGGTAAAAAATCATTTACTCCGTCTGGATGATCCAATCAAATTTTTCTAAAATCTGAAGTGGCCCAAGGAAATAAATCTTCCTCTTCTATTTGATAATCTTTAAGTTGTTGTTTACTTGGGTACTGGAGAGCACTACATTTAATTAAAAGCTAGATTGAGTTGAGGGCTCTTAAATAGGTAAAAAAATGTTAGATCATTGCAAAAAGACCGCAATTGATCATCACCCTAAAATTCCTTGATCGCCTTGTACCTTTTGCAAGGCTTATTTCTCCATCATTTACCCTGGCTGAATGATCCAATCAAATTCTTCTAAAATCTTAAGTGGTCCAGGGAAATAAATCTTCCCCTTTTATTTGATAATCTTCAAGTTGTTGTTTACTTGGGTACTGGAGAGCACTATATTTAATAAAAAGCTAGATTGAGGGCTCTTAAATAAGTAAAAAAATGTTAGATCATTGCAAAAAGACCGCAATTGATCATTTTCTCACAATTCCTTGATCGCCTGGTACTTTTTGCAACGCTTATTTCTCTATTATTTACACCGGCTGGATGAACCAATCAAATTCTTCTAAATTTTAAAGGAGTCCAAGGAAATAAATCTTCCTCTTCTATTTGATAATCTTCAAGTTGTTGTTTACTCCAGTTTGTTGTTTACTTGGGTACTAGAGAGCACCACATTCATTAAGAAGTTAGATTAATGACTCTTCAAAAACTGTTGGATCGTTGCAAAAAGACTCTTCTGTAACCATTAATTGAGTCTTTTTGATCATTCCTTGGCTAATCAGTCCACACTCCACAATTCCTTTATCACCTGGTGAGCCTTTTACTCTACTTATTTGTTCATTTGATTTTTCCATAGTACTAGTACATCGTACAGCAAAAATATATCCATGGAAACTAGTCTCATGAACCATGTAGAGTCCTGGACAATCCTGTAGCTGTGTATTATTTTTTGTTGGAATGATTCCGGGGCAAATACCTCGTTTCAGGAGTGGAGAGAACCGCCGCTGGTCTCATGGGAATGATGAGAATTTCGATGGGAATATTGGAAATGCGCGTATGTAGGAAAGTTGCCGGAAACACTGGCGCCCTTCGCCGCTACTTGCGTGTAGAGGGCGCACGAGCCGCGGGTGAAATTAATACTCCGGTTGCTAACGTAATCGATCGATTAGGATTCGACTTCCCCATGTTACATCATGTATACTAATGTCTGCTAATTACTGTTGGCGTTTTTCGAGCAGATAGCGGCTTATTAATGGCCTCTATTTGTTCGAGAAGGTACAGAAAAACTGCCGAGTGTAGGTAATTTTTTTTATTTCGGGCTATTTACTTACAATTGAAGAACTACAAATAATACATTTACTTATATTGCTTAGTTCAATATATTAATTTTAAAATAGTGTGGTTAGTCAAAGAATGAAAATATAATACAGGAGCAAGTATATATAAAAGCTGACAATAATATAACGGAAAAAAGTTGTTTATAAATAATCGTAAGAGTAATCTACTTTTTGCTCGCCCAAAACGGATCCAAAGTACTTAAAGGATCGATGTTTGCTTCGGGAATGATCGAAATTGGTTGAACCTCTTCCTTCGGTTCGAACTCGTTTAGTTTCTTCCTCATTTTATCTATAACAACCAATAATAATAACAACCATAGTGACTTTTATTTTATTCAAATTCACCTTCAGAAAGCACCTGGCGAATGTAAGCCAGGAAGCATTCATAAGCGAACTTCAAATGCTCTCGATCTCTGAGCACGTTCTTCCTGTAATTGGACACTTTTATGGCCAAAGCCGTCAAATCTGGCATCGAATTGGCGTTGTTAGTAACATCGAATATCGCCGCAGTCAATATACATATCAAACCGCTCCTTCCGATACCTGACGAACAATGCACCACGACGGGATGCGTGTTGGACTTCTGCTGCTGATACATACTGATCGCTTCCAATATGTAACTCACGAAAGGATCTGATGTCGTGGGAAACAGGCTGAAATAAATAAACCATCTTAAAATGCAGAAATTATTAAGGCCGCCAAAGCACGCCTTCAAATTCATAATTCGTGGGGTAATATAGAACTATTCCGAATTTTTCAAATTCAATTCTTTTCCCGGCAATTTGAAAAGATAAGAGTTATACATAATTTTACAGTAATCTATCATCATCATTTGCTAAAATACTTTCATTAGTTTTTTTTCAACTTAATACAGCTTATAAAGTAGTAGAGACATCGTTCTGTAATAAGTATTCTTCATCCTACTAAAATTATTCACACATTTGTTCAATGAAACTCGAGTTTTACAAGAATTACGTTTTGCCATTTAAAAACCACTGTAAATAAATTGCAGTGTTTGATTTCAATTTTCTTAAATATATAATGAAGTAGGAGAGATCAAAAATAAGAGATATCATTGCTTGGAGTCTCTATATTAGGTATAAAAAGGATTCAAATCAATTGATGATGTTAAATTTGAATCTTACTAGAATTACTGAACCTGTTTTCCCATTTAAAAATACCCTGAAGTGGCGCCCTTAACGAGCGCAATTACAACAAATCCTTCACATAAAATACAAACCTTCCAGGCCAAGATGTAAATTGTAAATGTAACACGACCCGCGACTCTCTCTTCTCCGGCAAATTCACCGATATAAGTCTTTCTATCCAGTGAGTTTTAGTAATGATACTTTGTAAGGTAATGACCATGTTCAATATGTTTAGCGATTGGCCTTTTTCCTTTGGCCAATATATTTCACTGCCAATCTAAAAATATACAAAGTTGAAGAATAATAAACGTAAGTAGAGAAATCTTTACGGACCTCAGCATCATTCTGCAGACAAAGAATTAATTCGACCTGTTGTTCTCGAATCATTGTCCAAAAATCGCCTATGGTTGATGCCAGAGGAATTTGCGTCACGATGAACGGAGGCGCATACGGCGAAATATCCTGTAAAATAGCAAATTTATAATGTGCAAACAAAAATAATATTCGCAACAAATTACCTTAATAAACGAGGCATTAATGTAATCGTCTTTACTGTCGCACAATTCCACTCTGGTGTGATCGTAAGGCAATATGTCGGGAAACCTGTTTTTCATGGGATAGCATCTAGCTACCGAAATAATCTTCCTCTGAGAATCGCAGTCTTGCTGGTCCTGAATTTCCTTCCATTTAATATCTAAGTTAGTTGGTCCGCTCAAAGTCTTAATACTCAAGGTTTCGACGAATTTCTCGTACTTATCCCACTCCTGATTGAACAGATTTTTAACATCTTTGTTGTTCAGACTCTTGCTCGGTAGCAAGTTGAAACTCGTACGTTTGACTTGGACTTTCTGCTCAGGGGCAGGATTAGCTGCTTCGGGAGGCTTAGTTTGAGCGCTCTCCTGTTTGGATGGCTGAGCCTCGCTTTCTTTAGTTTGCGGAACAACGTTTTGCTGAGGCACCAGGGGAGCGTGTGCAATATTAAAATCTAAACCGCTCAGAAGATCCACGTTCGAAGACTTAGCCGGTTGAGTTTGGGTATTTTGCACAGTAGCAGTAGTGGACGCAGGAGCGTTGTAAGTACCAGTAGGATAGTAATTTTGATAACCGTAATTGGCGGAATATTCGCCTTGTACGGTCATATTTCCTTGTTGTGTTTGAGTTGGTAAATTCGCGTTTACTCCGGTGTACATTTGATTGTACGATTGACTGGACATGTAGCTAGAAGTAGGTTGTCCAACGACCGATGTGGAAGGATAATAAGGAGATACAGGCTGTCCCATAGCATCATAATTGCTGTGATTGGAAGAGTACATAGAGGCCTGCCCTTGATTAGCGTGTAGACTTGTAGAACTTGTATAAGTTGCGTTTGTGTTACTCTGAAGAGTTGCACTGAACTGCGACGCCTGAAAAAACCAAAATATTCCCCAATTAAGTAACCTAAAAAAATATAAAATAAACACTAACCTGTAAATACTGTTGAGTATCACTTGATGATGGATATACCTGACTAATATTTGAATAAGAATTTGCTGGATAGAAATTAAGAGTGGAAGAAACCGAGTTGACTTGATTATATAAGTAGCTGTTATCCGGCAGGCTCGAAATACTGTTCGAGTTAACAGATGTCGAAGGATAGGTATAATTATTAGCGTTTTCCATCTTGCCATTCGAATCCATAGAGTTAGTGCTGGCCATGTTTGGAATAGGCGAAGAGTAGAAATTATTGGATTTGTAATTCGAAATGTTCGGTTGGACGGAACTGGAATATTCCACTGAATGGTACTTTACTTGCCCGTCCACGTAATGATCGCTAGCGCTATTTGACGCCGATTGATTAGGGGCGTAGCCCTGGGGATAGTACACGTTGACATTGTGGTGTTCAGCAGTGGAAGTATTCGATTGGGGGGGAATACTCTGATACTGATAATTGGCCGGAACTCCTAATGCTGCAGGATTTTGAACGTGACTGTCTGGGTATTGAACGTATCCAGCAGTAACGGATGTTTGCGATGATTCATAAGAATTCGTAGTTGTTGTATAGGCTTTAGACGAATTCATATCTGCCTGATTACTCGAATTGAAATTTTGAGTAGATTGATATATGGTAGAGTAATTTTGGGGGACGTAATTGTTGTAGGAATATTGCAAATAATTTTGCGGTTGTACATTTTTCTGATCCGTAAGTAACGAATTCATTTTTTTAACAATATCTTCGTCTGAGTATTGGGTTGCAGTATTGCCGACTTGCGAATAGTTGTAATTGTACGGAACATAATTTTGGGGATCTTTGGAGATGTTTTTAGGTAAATCTGTGTAGTCCGAGCCAACTGGTGTAGGTCTAACTCCCGGCGGATATTCAACGTTTACTCCATAATTACCAGCAACCTGAGGATAATGAATGTTTGGATCAGGATAATTATTAACCGCCGGATTTCTTTTTCGTGATTCCAAATAGTCTTTTAATTTGGGCGCAGCTGCTGCTGTTGCTGATGCTGCTGCTGCTGCTGCTGCTGCAGTCGCTGCTGTTGTACTGGTATCTTCAACTTTGGGAACTTCCGATGTTCCCAGCACTTGATCTCGCTCCTCTTGTTGAACTTTACAAGTACTTTTAATCCTTTGCAATAACTTGGTAACGTTAGTTTCGAGTTTGGTGTAGAACTCGATTCCTTTATTAGCTTTGGATAATAAATCATCGTAAGAATCGCTGGATGCCAATAACGATGAGATTGTCGTTGATCTTCTTTGCAAAATATCCTGGATGTATCTCCTCGAGTTCACAGCTTGAGCGTAAGAATCGACTAAAGCTTTCTTAATGTTTTCCTGTGCAGCTGTGTTTTGTTCAATCAAAGTGATCTAAAAAAAAATATGTTTACTCATTAACACATAATAAACGCGTTAAATAATACAAATTGTTTACGGCGTGAGAGAAAAATAAACAATAGGTACTATGAGAAAGCCTATTACATTATAATAAAAATTATTATGGAATAAATAATTATTATTACTAATATCTAAAAGAACAGATTAAACAAAATTACCAATTGTTGGTGTTTCTGCAGCTCCTGTTGGAATAACTGCTCCAGAGATTGGTTAGGCTGTTTAGTTACCAAAGAACTTGTGATATCATCATTATGTACAGCTTCTCTGAGTTGTGCCCAAAGCATAGCTCTTTGATTGCGCATTTCTTCTACTTTGGCCACCAGACTTTCCAAATCTTTTAGCGATTTTTCGTCAATATTGGCTGCGAAAAATTAAATAATTGAACGATTCTAAATATTTGTTAGAAACTTACGATTTGGCAATTCGACAAACGGTAGATTATGCTGGAGTTCCTTTAATGGGCGCTGAAGTACCTTCAGGTTAGCAACATGGGCGGTCATTGCTCTGTGTAAAGTTTGATTGGAATCATTCGCTTTCGTGTGAGCCTCTCGATATTTCGCGGCTTCCCTAGTTAAATCCGTTGCAAGTATGCTAGGAGGTCGTTTTCCTATTTTCTCTTGATAACTCGCCTCTGCTGCTTCTTCTCCCTAGAAATTATAGAAATAGAGTTTGTGAAATTGTTAATTTAACAACAACATATTATTTACTTTGAGTAATTCGTCGATTTCGTTTAAACTAGCCTCAACATCTTGATAAATATTAGACAGTTTTCCCATGGAATTTATTAGATCTTGTACAGCATTAGGTTTAGCTGCCAAAGCCGCAGCTCTATCGATAAGATCTTGTGGTATGCCAGTGGCTTGATGCATCTATAAAAATTAACAATGTAAACATTTACATATGTTATTAAGGAACATTTTACTTTTGTTAATAGATCTAATTGCATGGATGACATAAATTCCGCAAGTGATTGATCTTTCGAATCAATCAGTTCGCCGATTTGCCGTAGTATTTGCGCCTTCTTCTCACTATACAGTGAAGCAGCCTCGTGCGCTTCCATCGGGACCAATCTTGAAAAAATATCTGTACCAGAAACCTACAAACGTACAATGTTAATGTATTAATCCATAAGAGAAATAAACATCGTACCTCTGCATCGTTAATACTAAAAGGAATTCCTTTAACTAGAGAAGCGCCTTTCACTTCGACTAATTGATCCTTATCGGGTACTGACTCGTGGTAGATAAATTCATTCTCGTTTTTAGCGGCTTTCCTTTTGCCCTCGACAACGTCTGTCGTGAAAGCTAGAGCCTCGTTAACTTCTTGCTAAAAGCACAATTTTCGTTAAAATATTTTTTACTACCGGATTCCCTTTCAAAATACCTGTTGGTGTTGATTTTTTAAATTAGATGCACATTTTTTAGCTTCCTCTAGTTGCTCGCAAGCCGCTTGATAATAGGCGACTCTTTCTCCCATTTTCTGTTGTTCCTCAGCTTGCTGGCCGTGGAAAAGTAGTGATATGCACTTGTAATAGGCTATCTTGAATTGCAGAAATTTGATCCATTCTTTATAAATTTTGTCTCTGAAGTAATCCTCGTTAACTGATTCTAGTATACTCAAAGATTGCCTGTAATAGCTGTATACTTGAACTGCTACTTTAGCTGCAAAGATACATATGTAATTTCTATTGTTGTTAAAAGTATGGATACCAACCAATAATTGTGGGTTTCCTGTTATCAAACATGCTCTTTTCCAGAATACATTCTTGTGCTTGAGCTAACGAGACCTGTTGGAAAAAATGAACGAGTTCCACTAGTGAAACAAACATTATGAACTGGTGGTATTTTTCTTTAACAGTCTGAAAAAAATATCGTTTTTGTTACAAATTTAGTAGTTTAAAAGTTACAGTATACCTGAAATGCCCAAGCAGCGCATTGGAAATGAGTACAGGACATCTTCATGCCATCCGGATTACTTCGGGAATCACTCGCACCTAAATAGGAATGTAAGGCACCAATATTATACATAATCACCATTAATTCGTAACGAATATCTGTACAAGCGTAATTTAGATCCAGCTGGTTATTCCTCCTGTAAGATACAAATGTAAATTATTATTTAAATGTAATAAAAATCGATTTATTTACCAAGAAAATTGGACTGACGCGTCCTGATTTTCTTCCATGGGAAATCTTGATTTTAGAAAATGCAATTGACAATAATATTTCTTAAGCAATTGTACCCCGTTAAAGTCTGAAGTAGGACGCACTGCGGCTGCTCTCAATGATTCCAGATTGTTTATTTCAGTGATATAAGAATCTGGATCTTCTCCATAAAATGCCGCAATATACTAAAATAACGCAGTAAAAAATGAATCAATAATAATACATACTTGGATAAAATAAAGGTTACTTAAAATTTATGAAATACAATTTTAGAATGAGATTTTCTGTTAAACAAAGCAATTAAATTGTATTTGAACAAATATTTACAAAACAACTTTGTACCAAATATTAGATTACCTTCTTCAATTGGGGACCAAAGTGAACATTGTCCATGCATGTTTTCAAATCAAACGAAATCATTGGTAATTTCGGGGCCGCTTCCATTTTAGTTGCTTATTTGTTGCGATCAATAAAATTACAAGTTTCCAATTTGCTTATTTATTTGCGTTTAGTTTAATAAGATTACAAATCACCTACAAACAAACAAAACAAAATTGTTGTAAACTCTTTCAGAAACTTATTTACTATATGTACTTACATATTACCATTATTACCGGCTAACGAGTATTGGTAAATTCAACAAAACACCTACAATTTTTATTATTTGACAAAATTATGAACAATTCTTTTATTTAACGTCATTAATCAGCCGTTCCACAAATTAGTTGACAGATATGTCACTGTCATTATGCTGTTTACACAACATTGTCACCAACCAAGTAAAAATAAAATCCCTTATAGGACGCAACCCACATTACTTTCAAAATTCAAGAATTGAACAATAATACAAGTTTAATTGTAAGTATCTTTTAATTACAAATTGTTTCTTCATAATGAGTTGAGCCTTAGTTACAATTTTCTAGGAAAAACATTGGCGCTAACAATTCATTCCGTTTTTTTTTTCTAATTTTTAATATAACTAGCTTCGTTTGCTAAATCATCCAGTAGCAAATCGTCGTCTTCTTCTACGCACAGATTATCATCAACGTTTATCTCGAATCTTTGATATTCCGAAATCAGATCGGTAACGCTAGTTTCGGCCTCTATAAATTCCATTTCCTCCATTCCCTCACCGGTGTACCAATGCAGGAACGCTTTCCTGCGAAACATCGCCGTAAAAACGCTTACTAAAAAACAAAACACGCATACAAAAGGCGGTTATACACGGATGAATATTTCTACTAACTTATCCTCGCGAATATTTCTTGAATCGCCGTATTATTGGCGATAAACGTGCCGCAGTAGGTGAAGCCCTTCGGTGGGATATCGCAAACAGCGGTTTTCACGTTGTTAGGAATCCATTCGATGAATGAGGCGTTGTATTTTTCCTGCATGGCGTACATTTGCTCGTCCACTTCCTTCATCGACACTTTTCCTCTCAGTATCGAAGCTACCGTTAGATATTTTCCTTTTCTTGGATCGCAGGCAGACATCATGTTTTTAGCCTCAAATAATTGTCGTATTATATCTACTGTAGTGATATCTCTATATGGTGGTACACCTCTGGAATATATTGTTTGTCAAATTTAAAGACGCACTGTTTTGATGCACTATAAAATTAGCTGTAGCTAGATGTGGAATTTTCAACAGATGTGAAATTTTTAATAAGCATAGCTCTATATGCAGGATGAGGCACATAAAGACCTGCACCGTTTTCTCACCTTGAAACTAGAGGAGCAAAACTGGATATAAAAAAATGCAAATTAGGATAGGGAACCAAATTAACTTCAAGTTTTCCTAAATCAGTATTCGACTGTCCTGGGAATCGCATACAAGTCGTAACACCGGCAATTGTAAAGGCGATTAAATGGTTTAAATCACCGTAAGAGGGACTGGCTATTTTCAAAGTCCTGTAAATTGCGAATGGAATCAAAATGCAGCTTAATTAATCGATTGGTATTATACCTGAAACAAATATCGTGAAGCGCTTCGTTGTCAATGGCGTAGGTTTCATTAGAGTTAGATAATAAGTTAGCAATAGCCAAGGTAGCATTATAAGGTTCTACTACAGTATCGGAAACTTTGGGACTGGGCATTATAGTGAAAGTGCTCACAATGCGATCAGAATATTCATGTTTTATTTCATCCAGCAGTAGGGATCCCATTCCGGATCCTGTGCCACCTCCTATTGAATGAACCACTTGGAATCCCTAAAAATCATGTTTTAACAATCAATTTCTGGGAATTACCTGGTGCAAATGTACCTGTAAAAAATCACAAGCTTCAGCCTTTTTTCGAGTAAAGTCGAGAACTGTGTCCATAAGTTCCATCCCTTCGGTATACCGACCTTTGGCGAAATTGTTACCAGCACCCTGTGTTCCGTGTAAAAAGCTGTCTGGTCTGAAGTATATCGATTTAATTGATATATGATATATGTATTACCAAAAATGCAATATTTGTTTACCTAAATAATTGCCCGAAGGGGTCTGCTCGCATGCATTCCATTGCACTAGATTCCAAATCAATGCAAGCCGCGCGAGGGATGAATCTGTTATTCGGGCCCTCTTCGAAATACACATTTATTCTTTCGAGCTGAAGATCGCTTTCCCCGTACCATTTTCCTGTAGGATCTACGCCGTGCTCTTCGCAGATATTTTCCCAAAACTAACGAATAAAATATAAGATGATTACAGCGAAGCTACAGCGCATTTCCCGGACGAATTATCCTAAACTTGTGAAACTTATTCAATGTTTGATAAATATTTACTTTGTTTCCAACATTATTTCCAGCTTGTCCAAGCTGTAAGTGTATTATTTCACGCATAATTTATAGGTGGATTTTTACAAAAAATTTGGAATTTTAGTGCTTTCAAAAATTGTTTAATTTATATACAAGAATTTCATATTGTTGATAGGTGTCAAGATTATAAGTCAATTATGTCTTCTTTAATTTAATTCAAAACTAAGAACCTACCAATACGATATGTGGACGTTATTGTAGTAAGAAACTAGAAAATATTTCGATGTCGGTCTAGTATGCGGTCTACCCTACCGCATCTGGTTTAGTACGCGGTCTACCGAAATTTATTGGCCCACAACCACGGTTTGTAGAAATATTATTCTACAAACCGTGATTCACAACCAGTTTCAGTTTTGCAAAATATGACACCTGTCAATGTATTTAATTATACTTATTGGTCGATAAAATATGTAGGTAGACTGCATAATAAGAGATTTCTAATAAGAGATGTGTTTGATTAATATTAAATTAGTAAAGAAACAACAATTAGAAACGTAATAAAATAATACAATATATTACAATTTCTTTATAAACGTACATAACATAATTTTTGCGTAATATATTTTTTTGAATTTGTACTCGATTTAATTAAGTCATGCACCATCCGATTTTCATTCGAATATCCCATGCTTTTTCATCATATGCGAACGTAAACCTTTCTTCATAACGTACATTTTATTTTCACAAATTGTACAAGGGAAATACTTAGCTTTGCCTAAGTGTTTATCGGACATGTGTCTTGTGAGAGTGGTTTTGTTCAGATAGGCCGCGCCGCACTTGTTGCAAACGAAACTTTTCTCCCTGTTAAACGTGTGTTTTCTAATGTAATGTTTGTTTAGAGTGGATTTTAGGTTGAACCTCAAATTGCAACTGGGGCAAGGGAAATTTTTAACGTTGCTGTGTTTCAGTAAATTGTGCGTTACCAAAGTGGTTCGTTGCGAGAAACCCGTTCCGCAAATTTCGCACACAAAACTTTTAGTGTCGTCGTGAATTCGTTTATGAACACTCAGGCTGTGGCGGTGTTTGAAAGCTTTGAAGCAAACTTTGCATTTGTACCGTCTGTCTTCTGAATGCATTAACTGGTGATCTTGAAGGTAGCATTTTTTCAGGAAGGCGGCTCCGCATTGGTCGCAAATGTGCGTCTTGTGGTCTTCTTCATGAGCTTTCACTTCTTCCTTGGTGGAGAACACAACAGAACAAATTCTGCATTGCAGCTTGTTCCTTTTAACGACGGTTTTTGATGAAACATATTCGACATAATTTGGAAAACCAGTTGGAATTGTTAGGGTAATGCTTTCGGCGTATTTTGGCAAATCATTATCGTCAACAATTATGTTATGTCTGTATTGCATGTGATGACGAAAACCTATTTTGTATAAAAAACAATCTCCACATTCGCAAGTGTACTTAACAGTATTAACGTATTTGTATTCTCCGTTATTTGACAGCGTTTCTGGGAATACAAAACTCTGCCTTTTTTTGACTTCTAACATTTCCGAATCTTTAGAATCTGCTTGTTTGTCAGAAATATCTTCATAATCGATATTCGTCTTATCATCATCATCAAAGTGGTCATCATTGTTATCAGCATCATGACTGCTTTCCATATTATTTATTTCAGTCAAAATTAAATCTTCATTTTCAGCATTCGATATCTCAGTAATCTCTTCCAAAACGTCCTCCTTAAAAAGCTGCTTTTTCAAAAATACCTCGGTTTCTTGAAAAATTGATATCATGTTATTGAAATTAATGATGGCTGTTCTGCAGGTCATGCAAATGCTTTTCGGGAGTCTATCGTCTTCAATAACCTGAAAATAATATAAATCTTTAATTTATTTATACCTAATAACAACTACCTAAAAAAATCTTCTATTTTTAAATTTATTATAGTTTCTTTTTCTGTGAATTTATTAAAAAATGTAATTAAAAGACTAGTGCATATTTATGTTGATAATCTTATTTATAGACAAACTTACCTCGTAAGAAGTGATATTTGCAAAAACTTGAGCTAGGCTCAGATCTTCAAAATACACATCAAAAAACGAAATCGCTTTTGTATCAGGTTCAAACCTGAGGCATATTCGGCATTTATTTAATGTGTCTGTTACTGGTTCTTCGGGAAACATTTTTATTCCTTACTTTACTGTTTGTTTACGAAGGAAACAACAAAAACCGAACCAAAACACACCACAAATGTAAAACAAATTTTCATTTTGTATCTTCTTTTTTACTTCAAATTTTATTTGGCCTACTAATGATTGTGGCACTTTAATGATAGATGTATTCAGCTAGTAATGTGGTAGATGGAAAAGAACTATGAAATATGAAATACTAATTGTAGTATTCATAAAAACATGGCAAAAGAACTGTACATTTTTTTTGTTAGATTTGTAAAATATATTTATAAAAAATCTTTTTATTATTTGTCAAAAAAACGTCAATTTATGCGTCAATTACGACATTAGTGACAGACTGACATAACGTAAAATATAACCTCACTGTTTTTATCAACGAAGTAACAACTTAATTGGTTGTATTAAATGAGCCGGTGATAAAACTTAAAGAATTTTAATTTAAAAATGTTAAGTTTTTTAATACACAACATGTTATTTTTTCTAATATATCTAACTTATTTTTTCGTCGAAATCAATTGTAATCGGCAATTAATCTATGCCGTAAACTGTGGAGGTGAAGCCCATACGGACACGTTCGGTATTCGATACGAAAGGGACCCTTTGCACGGCCGGATCGGCATCGCCTCCGATTACGGAAAGCGCCTTCTAATAGGCCGGGTGCCCCCGAACGATTACATTCTGTATCAAACAGAGAGGTACCACACAAACACCTTCGGCTACGACATTCCAGTTAACACGGATGGAGATTACGTACTCGTCTTAAAATTCTGCGAAGTGTACTTCAACGCACCGGACCAGAAAGTTTTCGATGTTGTTCTCAACGGAGATCACACTGTGGTCGCTGATTTGGATATATTCGAGAAAGTCGGGAGAGGAGTGGCTCACGATGAGTACATACCGTTTAGAATTACCAAGGGTAATACCAATTGCTATATAGAAGGGTACTCGTAGATTATATCATGTTTTTTTTGTAGGACGTTTGCATTTCAATGGAGAAGAATCGGACATAAGAGGTGGGCGTATTCGCGTTGAATTCATAAAAGGCTACAAGGACAATCCTAAGATCAATGCGATGTACGTTGTGAAAGGTAAATTGGAAGATGTTCCCAGGTTGCCTCCTATACCAGTCGAGCCGAATCCTCTGGAAGATGTTAAAGAAGAAACCGAGACGTTTACGAAAACTAGGAAACCGAGCGGCCCGAGACAGCCTGATCCATATACTTTAGATGATTCCTCACACATGTTACCTATTTTCATTGCGATAGGAGCCTTTATTCCTTTATTGTTTTGTTTATGCAAATTGTGATCAGACTAGTGATTTTTTTAAATGACTATTACCGCTCAATCATGACTGGTTAGGAATAATATTTATTAAGGAATGTAATTTTATGTGAGCATCAGTATATTCGAAATTTATCTGGTATCAATTCATCTATGATGAAACTGAGGAAGCATGATTATATTTTACCGTACTAAATTATTAATTACAATTTATTATTAAATAAATTTCTTGTACTAGCATATTAATTGCATTTGAAGAGTTTTTGTATTGATGTTCATCATACAATAAATGGAGTATCGTTTTACATTTTATTTTAAATTATTCAGTGAGGTTGTTACACATTATAAAAGTATATATTATTATTATGTAAAGTAGGCATTTATTTGAAGCAAAAGTAATTGATTACCTTGAAAAGTACATTTTTGTTGTATCTGTAAATGGTGGGCTGTCGGTGTTTAAGCTGATTCATTAAACCTCATTTTTTACACTGCATTCGAATAAGCAATAGTACGAGTGTAAATAATTAGCTTCTATGTTACTGGCGAAACTAGAAATAAGTTGGTATGGTAAAAGATGAGGTGTCGGGTTTTTTGCTTCTATAAAGTACTGAAGTAGATGATAGTTTTAATTTACTCTTTTTTCGAATTTTGCCCCTAATATAATTTGTTTTATTGTACTTAATATTTATTATTTTTGTTAAAAATAATTGCTAGTTAGAGACTGAAATAAAAAATTGAATATTTCATTATGTGTTGATGATTTAGAATATAACAAAAACGCCACTGTGAATCAATATTATGAATAATTTTATTTTCCATATAATGAGAGCTACATATTGACATTAATAATGTAGGTAACATACTGCAACAGTATTTTTAACAACATTAATAGAAAAAAATTAGGCCATATTTATTTAACAACCATTCACCGTATCAAGACCAATTCCCATAGTTTGCTAACTTTTAAAATGTTTTCCAATAATCTTGCGTATTCTTAAACAAGTATTTTGTTGTTAGTGACTTCCAACCTTCCCTAATACTCGGTTCTAATTTTAAAATAATAACTCCGCTATTTCTGTAGACAATAGAAATTGAAGTATAATTGCATGTTTCTAGAATAAAAAATTGAATTTTTAAAAAAATACTATTTTTCTATATTTAAATACTTTAATATTTCTGAAACTGAATTATACAATTAGTTGAGCTATTATTTCAAATATTGGCGATACTTTGTTTTAATAGAAATTCAAAATTCGAATAAGAATTATCCAGAAATTCTTTCACACACCAATGTAATACACAGAGAATCTTGTAGAGATACATTTATAAATAGATTAAATATATTCTAATGCTACCATTAAAAATTAAGTGATAATCACAGATATATTATTACATTCAAATGTAAATTTCTAATCTACATGATTTTTGATATATTTGTACATGTGTGCGACATGACATTTATTATGAAAGACAAGAATTGGATAAAAGTGAAATTGTCGTTAATGGTAAAATTTCATACATATTCGTAGGTATATGAAAACTCACTATTCGTTATACCCGTAAATGGGAAGGATAATAGACATTTAAAATTTATATTCACAATCATTTAATAGAACAGTTTATAATAATTTATATATTAATTTTTATTGTATAGCTAAATTATTTTTTTCCTTTAATTATTGTAATTTGATTCGTATTTTTGTATAAATAGGGTTTATGGCACACGTTTCTTTTACAATTAGTTCTGTTCATTTTATTTTTTGTCCAAAACTTTAAATATAATTTCCAATGAATTTCAAAATTGTCTCCTCGTTCCATTTTAGTACTGAGCTCGGTAAGCTTAGGCTTAAAATTTCCCTATTTCTCTCATATTCAAATAGAATAAACATTACGATCTACTTCAGTTAGTTTAGTGTTTTAATTTGATGGTATAAAATTTAATGATGACTTAATGATGAATGACCTAAGTCTAAATAAAATATGCTCTTGTTTCATTGAATACATTATAGTAAACGTTATAAATTTAGAAACGAATTAAACTATTTTAAGACACAAGATACACCGGCAATTTTAAGTGTTTGAATTAGATGAACATTAACATTCGAAATAAATCAATATTAACATTCATAAGCATTCCTAAAATGAAATTGGAAACAGTATATTTAATAAATGTGATATAATCGCCTGGAAATGCGGAATAACTAAATTATCTAGTAATTATAAGTTTACCCAATGTTTTATAATTTTACCTTATCCGTTCTTGTTATGGAGAATATCCTCATTTTATAAAGTTTGCCTCAAAAATGTGCTTACATGGATGAAGCACACATTTTTTATCCTAAAATATTTGAAGGAATTACAATACTAATGTAAATCTTTTGAAAATCAATAACTTAGCAATAGCAATAACAACGATGCTTATAATTATTGACATTATTCACTACAATACCATTCTAATAATTTAGAAAATCTAATTATTCAAAAATAGATTTATTATTTAATTTTCTAGAAGTGGAAAGTTGGAAAAACTTAAAATTAATCTAACAAAATCGTATTTACACATCACATGAATTACATAACGCTATTTTTTTTCATAAAAATCCAAAGTGTTAACCGATTAAATTCGGACGATTCTTTTAGAATATAAGTATCTGGTTTCAAATCATTATTTACGTGGATTTGAGTTGTACTAAAAAAGGAACTTAGAATTTTTGCAGTATGTAATTCAAATGCCACAAAAATCCAATAGAACGAAAATAAAGCATACAATATGTCATTGGGAACATCTTTTAATATTCTTGTTTTTCTAACGAATATAAGACGTAAGAAGTAGGTATATTTTTAAACATTATCATAAAGATATTTTATCACAAACACATATTTTTGGCCAACAATAGACCTTAAAATCGATTATATATGTACATTGTATGGAGTTTCTTTTTCAATGCTCAATAAAAAGAGTAATTTAAAAATAAATATAAACCTATAATCGGACTAAAGAGTCATAATTTAAAATAATGATGTTAATTCAAGTAATTGAATTACGATAGAAAAATATACTAACAACTTAAAAAACATGACACATTGAAAGAGGAACCTTCATTATTCAAAGCGTTTTCATTATCTATTTCTAAAAAATATTTTGGAACCAAACATGATCTGATAGATTTGCTGCATTATGTATAAAATATGAATAATTTTTAACCGATCGCTCAAAATTCTTTGGTAAACTAAAATAAAGATTTTCTGTGAATTTTTAATAAATAGAATAACTTTCATGCTTTGTGCTCTTTGACAAATTGCCCAAGAAAATAACTTCAATTAAAATTAATTTCAAAGATTTCTTCGCATCTGCGTGTAAATTGTTCCACCACTTTTAGGGCGAATTAACAAAACAATAAATAAAAAAGAACCTTATACACAAATTTGAAATAACTATGACCTATTGTTGGGATCCGATATTTGGTGTTGCTTGAACAGCAACGTTTCCTCAAATATTAATCTTTTCAAAGTATCTTTCGGCAAATCATCCAACTCCGTGTCGAATCTAAAAGGCGTCTCAGCGACAGGCTGAAATAAATTGAAAAAACAAATTATTCTTTAACGAAAAAATTGTTAACACAGATTGGTGTTTTATGTAAACCGTAACGATAACAAATAAATTAACATTAATAAAACACTGCACTAATTGTAGCAAACATGGTATACCACAATTTAATAAAAATATTGTGCTCGTTATATTATTTATCCATATTATTAATAGTCCATGTTACATATACAGGGTTTTTCACGATAACCGTGCATTAGAAATTAGAACTTTTCGGAGTTACTGAAGAGTCTGAAATTTGAAAATTTAGGAGTAAGGTATAATGAATGAGTGTATAATGTTGTGAGAGTATAATGTTGTGTTTTTCCAAAATATTTTAAACTGTGGTTCACTCAGTATGAGAGTGGACTTTTGGATAATTATTAAATATTTGTTATCAATGTTTACTAACATGTTTAATTAGAAGTGCACTGATTTCGTAGCAACCTGTACACAACAAAGACAACTTCCGTAGTCTCATATAAAGGAAAAAGTAAGAGTGATAATAGGCCCTGTTTATAAAAAGAAGCATAACCTTTTGCTTTCAAATATTGAAGGAATTGCTTGCATAAGTTGTATGCATAAAAAGAAGTGCGAAGGAAGAGGTTTTGCTTCGAGGACCCTGCTGTTGCTTTAAAGCAAAAGGTTTTATGGTTTGAAAACCTTTGTTTGAGGATTTAAAACCTTTTTCTCTTATCTTTTGCTTGTACCTCAAAGTAAATGCTTTATTTTTATAAATATGGACTATTGTGTGATTGCAACTCTCACCTCTCACTTTAGCAACTGTTATTTTAATCATCTTTGTTCAACTCATAGAATTTATCATATTGCAAACACATTTGCACTTAGGCGTATATGTTGATTCATTTTAGTTTGCAGTATAGGTTATAGTATAGGCTATGGGTGGGATAAAGACAACTTCCAATAGACATTTATAAAGAAAAAAAAGCGGTCTTGTGGGATTGCAACTTTTTCGCTCTAACTACTGTTATTTTATTAATCTTTCATTGTTCAACTCATAGAAATGACCATATTGGAAACTGAAATGCACCATAGGGTATAGTAATTACACAAGAGTCCTTACCTCATCCGCCGGGTCATAATACTGTTCAAGATACGGATGTGCCAGCGCCTCTTCGACCACTATTCTTTTGTGTGGATTGAACGTCAACATTTTATCTAGGAGATCGAGGGCTTTCGAATCGGCGTTCGGATACAATTTCGGCCATGGAATTTTTGGTTTGAAGGGCAAAGATTGCAAGTAACTTCTCGCCTGAAAAAGCCGCTCGTACCAGTTGTTTACTTTGAAACGCGAAGCAAGCTCTTACCTTTTCGTTTATAATACAATCGAGATCTTCTTGAGAGGGCGATCCTAGAACTCCAAGAATATGATTCAACTGATCTAAATAATGCTTGCCTGGGAATATCGGTCTATTCGCCAACATCTCCGCTAAAATACACCCTACTGACCAAATATCGATTGATTTAGTGTAACCCTAAAATTGTTAATTAATTATATTAATTCCTAATAAGGGTTAATAATTTTGTATGTATATACCTTGGAATTTAACATAATTTCTGGAGCTCTATACCATCTTGTGGCCACATATTCTGTTAAAAACCCTGTGTGGTCGTGCTCCGGATCAGCCACTCTAGCTAAACCGAAATCACAAATCTGCAAAAATATAGTTTAATAAATCTAATTCAATAGCAGATCGCAGCGAGTTACTCACTTTAAGGTCGCACGTAGTATTTAGAAGTAAATTACTTGGTTTTAAATCTCGATGAAGTACGTTAGCCGAATGGATATATTTCAAACCTCTTAGAATTTGATAAAGAAAGTAACAAATATGATCGTTACTCAGTCTCTAAAAATATAACGAACAATTTTTAATTAAGATTTTCATCAGCTAATAATACTAGTTTAAACAGTAATTTGCGTCGTTGATGTTAGATCGCACGAACTTGGTTAGATAAAATTTCCAGAAGAAACTTTGCGAAAAAATAATTTGTGATATCTACGAGATAACGATTAAAACTTTAAGTCATTAAGCGATTTCTAATTATATTGCACTTCATCCATCAACTTCAAACCTTTTAACTGGATTATAAAATTAGCACTTTGTAGAGTTAGATAATTACAAAAATCTATTTCATTTGGCTTAAAATGTTATCTGTAATTTTTTATTTCAAACAATTTTCTTAAACATTTACAATGGAAAAGTTAATGCTTGCATATTTTTAATGTCATTTTTTATATTCATGACCCAGCCTACTTTACGTTTTATCGCTATTGATAACAATTAAGCGATAAAACGGCTACGTTTTAAAATAGCTGTGGAAAATCGCGACTAAAATCAACTGACTGCAATAAATTACGCGCGAGATTTTTCGTATTAGATGTACCGGTTTACCTGTGTTTTAAGGAGTTTATACAAGTCAGTCTCCATTAAACATTGTACAATGTAAACATCTCTCATTTGGTCTATAGTTGTTGCACGAAGAATATCTCTAATATCAATTATCTGAAACATAAATAATGATCGGTTAAAGCATATTTTTTATTGGAGAAATTATGGAAATAAACGGATCATTCTGACAGTCTAAATTGCCGTGCATTTGGTTTAAATCATTTCCGAGCCCATATTTGTTTGCCCATTTCGGTTTTAATTAGTAAGCAATGGAACAATTAATCGAAATTCATTGTTCCCCAAATGCTTTTTAATTAATCACCGAGGATGAATCATTTTTAAAGCGTCTAATACCAATTTAAATGATTTATTTTTAGTACAGAAGATTCTGGAATAATTTAAAGTGATGAATTGTTTGCAACGGACAAATTACTTTAAACGCTTTGTAATTACCTATAAAAATTCATTTTTGTGAATATTTTGCATACTTACATTTTCATGCTTAAACCTGGTGAGTATTTTGATTTCCCTGAGTGTCCTTTGACAATAAGTTTGATGTTCAAATGGAGATATCTTTTTTATTGCAACCTTAGTTTTTGTTATATTATCGGACGCAGAGCTGTAAATTAATAAAATAAATAGTTTAATGCGAGGCTATAATAAATCCTTTAAAACCTTAAGTATTTAATTATGATGGGTTCGTCAAATTGCAACATAATGTAGTTTTTTCTTTCAGGAAACCGCCGCAAATCGCACGTTATAAGATATAAATTGTGGCTAACAGCCTAAACCATAAAGAGGTAATTGACACTATAAATAATGATTGTGCTTATCTGTAAATTTATTCGTGTTATACAATAATTTTTTATTAGTATTAAATAATGGAATAATTACTTGGAATCGCCCTTTAAGTTCAACAGTAATTTCGAATTTTTATAAAGAATATACTTTAACTTTCTATCTAGTTTAATTAGTGAAATAAAAAAGCAATGAAATATAAGTTGAGGAGTAAAAAGAAGTCACATTGGGCTTATTTTTCACTCATTAAAGAGGCAGTTAATTCATAATTTCTTAGCAGTTTCTCCCAGGAGATAAATGTACACGGTGTCTGGATAGAAAGCTAAAACTTGGGAATAAGAAGGAAGAAAGGGAGAGAACGAACTCCTGATTTATGAGGCGGCAAATGTACTTTTTTATTTTATCCTTGAAATAATATTTCAGAGATTATTAAAATAAACTGGTGTAAATAAAATCTCAGTGATAGTATATTAAATTTAGTGTTTCTTAGCGTCTTACATTATAAGGATTGCTGGGTATTCCCTTATCAGATAATATGGTACCTATTCTACTATCTGTGGTTTGGGAAAACCCATTAGATACTCTTGGTACAGTTAGAATACAAATATGACACAATCTTTATCTAAAGGTAAGAAATTAATAATGTATTACAACGAGTAACCTTGAATTATTTTTATCTGTATGTCTTAAATATTTACAATTTGTACCCACAGTCAAACATATATCACAATTTCACAAATTTCGAATACATAAAAGAGGAAAATTGTTTATTAACGTAAATATGGTAATTCCTCTGCGGGTTATTTAATAGTATGGGCATAATTTAAATGTTTACCGATAAACATGTATTCAAATTAACACTCAAACAATAATTTACATTAGGCAAACCTTGTATTGAACGTAACAAGATAATTCGAAAGTGTCGTTTCACGGTTAAAAACTTCCAATCGGAATATAATCGTTAAAGTTGCAATAAAAGGGAGCATTTCAATATTTCCCTCGGGAAAGGGATTCATCGATTTAAAATACAAATAGCCACTGTCCAAACATAACCTCTAAAATCGCTCTATTTAAAGAATTCATGTGTGAAAAGACAAACGAAACGCGTTCGCACGGATAGCGCGATCGTCGCTTAATATCGGCAATTCGATTTACGGAAAATCGCCTTAGGGCGTATATGTAATGCGTTCGCGGCGCCTTTAGAAAAGATGCGGGAGGAAGAGCGCACTTACACAACCATCCCGTAAGCTCCTTCTCCGATGTAAGCCAAGCTAGTGTAGCGGGGCCCCACTTCGAAAATTTGGCCCCTTACGATCTCGGCATTCGGGTTAACACATGCCGCACCTGTGGCTTCCGCCATTTTTCAGCGAACTTGGGAGAATAGGAGACACGGACCGCACACACCAGCACCACCTCTCTCTCCTCGCACAGTGCAGCGAAATGATCGGAAAAAAACTCTGAAACTCGAGCGAAACTCCCGCGTTGCTCGCGCAGATGGCTGGCTTATTAGAAAATATCGGCAAAATGCCTGTGGAGCATCGCCTTGGTTAGAGATTGGAGGGTCAGGGTAGGGTAACGAAACAACTGCACTGCAGTTATCTATCTAGTCACTACACCACTGCGAACTGTCTATATCTATTTCCCATTATCTGTATAGATAGATATTTTTTGGTAGTTATGCAACCACTTTAACACCGTAATTCGACGCATTTTAAATGGCCTGAAATGCTTGGGCTATTTAGTAACTTCGCAGTAGTTCAAAATGACAAATGTGAAATTTGACTTTTGACATATGGCAAATAAACTAACCTATAATTCATTGTTTTTGTTAGTTTCTTTCGGACGATTAATTTCTTTTTAGAATTTGAAAAGTTGTTCAAAAGTATTAACAATGAATGCTCCTCCAACCTTTGAGTCATTTTTGCTGTACGATGGAGAAAAAAAGTGAGTATCCTGTTTTAAATTATGAATTTTGTAAACTCTCAGACTTATTACTTAATATATTTTTTTCAGGATTATTCGAGAGCAAGATACGAAAGTACCTAACGCTGCTATTTTCACAATTAACAAAGAAGATCACACTCTTGGCAACATGATCAGAAAGTATATTTATTTAATTTGTACGATTTTATTTGTACTTAAACGGTGCATTGTTTACAGTCAACTTTTGAAAGATCCCAATGTATTATTTGCCGGATACAAGGTGCCGCATCCTTTAGAACACAAATTTGTTTTAAGAATCCAGACGACCTCAGATTATTCACCTCAAGATGCCCTAATGAATGCAATAACTGATTTAATTTCCGAGTTGTCACTTTTCGAAGAGAGATTTAAGGTATAATATACATTAATATTATTAAATTTGAATAGGGAGTATTTAATGAGTCTCTTCTATTTGTTTTAGGAAGCTATTAAAGAGAAAAAGGAAGGTTTAGACTAATATTTCTACTTTTCTTACAATTACGTAAATAAAATAATTTTTAATTAATAAAATAGATTTATTTGCTTAAATTTCAACAATTAAATTACTATTTTCCCTAATCGGTTCACGCGTTAAAATTCCTGATCATCAGTGCACTCTTCTGTGGAGTGTCCAAATACTACAAAAAAAACGAAAATTATTTAAATATCAAAATTATGGAATCAAAACCTACCTTCACAAGAGGTGCAATACGGTCTCTGGGCTGGTTTCTCCTTTTTGGGTGCATTATTATTGATAGGCTCGTCATCTCCTTGTGTAGGGCAATCTTCCGTTTCGTGAAGATCGAACTCCTCGCATATATCACAGTACATTCTTGGAGCTGCCTGTCTGGTGCCAGCTTTGAAGCCAAGTCTGCAAATTAATTCCGTAAATCACATTAACATTAAAACCATTAAACGATTCACTCACAGTGTTAATTCGTCAGCCGCGGAGGAACTGTATCCCAATTCTAAAATTTCGATTCTCGCCTTCTGTTCTTCGCTCTTCCGTTGCATATCGGCGATAATCGAGTTCAAGAAGGTAACTTGATTTTCGGCGAACAGCTTCTCTTCCAGTAGCTGTTTGATGTCATTTGTGTTATTAATTTGTACCTGATTGGAAATAAAAACCAACGTGCAAATGCAGAACCAAAAATAAGCAATAAAAAATAGTAAAGAAATAGAATTTTATAGTATTTTAGTATAGTGTTCCAGCACCCTGAGATACCTCAGATATACGAGGTGATATACACTGAACATGGACATATAGGGAAGCTCAAAATATGTTATTTAACCCAACTTAACTTAATAGAAGTTAAAAGAAAGAACTTAATGGAAAGGTACATTTCTGAGAAGTTTTAGACCTTCAAAGTGGAATCAGGAATAGTGCTCCCTTAAAATGCTACAAAATAAAGTCCTGTACAATATCAATGTTACTTAAAATAGTCGATAATTCAAAAGTTGGCTGTATTAAGTTAAAGTTGGTTTAAAAAACCTATTTTAGACTCCTCTACAAGCCCCTGCTCTGTGTCGGTTCTTATGGGGGACACCCTGTATTTCAATATATCTCTTAAAATAGATGATCACGTTAATCTGGCGATAATTTCATAGTTCTAAATATACTAAATTTTTTAGACAAACTAGGAAGTATAAATGAAAAGGTATTGTTCTAGTTGGCGACAAATTATCGTGAACATACCACATGCTTTTTAATTAAATAAATAAATAAAAATTAAGCTGTGCGACACTAAAAATTAATCAAGTTAGTGTATTGATATTATTAAAAGAACTTACTGATGTAGAATCTCCCGAAGCAGACATAAAACCATTAGATTTCGTAGTGTTTAACTGTGCTTGCAACTGCAATAAAATACGAATCGATTAACTCAATAGAATAAAATTTATTAAAATAAAAATTAGTAATTAATATAAGCTAAAATAATTTTACAGGATGTATGAAATGAATTTTACTACACACAATTTTTATAACTAACTATCTAGCTCTTTAGTATTGGCTTCTGTCACCACCCGCTTTGCGTCTATTTTTCATCTAATTACAAATTCAAGCAACTATTAAAAATATAGAAAAAAACTCTCGAAGAATGATCAAATTTACCTTATTTAACTCTTCTTTTAGCTTAGAGGTTTCGCTTTTCTGCAAACCGAGGTGCACATCCTTTTGCATGACCTCCGACGTCGCCTTGTCCAATTTCTTCTGCAATTCCTGGATTTCAGAGTTGTTTTTACTCTTACCGGCTTCTTCGCTAATTTTCAGCGCTGTCTCCTTATTTTCCAATTCGGTCAATAAATCCGACACGCGAATTTCGAAATCGTTGAACTCTTTGGTATATTTCTCACTAAGGTTTTTCATAGCGATTTCGTTATTTGAAGTGATTTCGGCGACCTGTTTCTTTAATAAATCTATCTCTTTGGTTCTTTCGGAAATCGTGGCGTTCGCAGAGTTCAAATTCGCTTCCATTTGGGATATTTTGCTGTTAAAATCAACGGTGATCGATTCGATTTCTTTGCTTTTTACGTTCAGTGTATCCAGTAACTCGTTTCTTTCTTTCATCAAATTGGATTCCATTTCGGCCTTGTCGCCTCGGTAGTTTTTCAAATCATTCAAGGATGTCTCTAAATCTTTTTCTCGTTGTTGCAATCGCTCGGTTAGTTCTGATACTTCGGAGGTTTTTTTCATTAGATCGGATTCCATGGTTTTTAGCAATTCTTTAGTATCGTTTACCGATTTCTCTAGTTCCTTATTTTTATCGTGGGTTTCCTGGTTTTCTTTGGCGGATAGCTCCAAATCTTTTGCCAGTTTGGAGGATTCTTGTGAGGAATTTTGAAGGGAGTTTTGGAGTTCCTCTAATTTCTTCGTTTTGCTTAAATCCTCTTCATCCTTTTGTTTAATTAACGACTCTATTTCAGTTAGTTTACTTAGGTTAGCGTTAATAATATCGTCTTTTTCTTTTATAGTTGCATTGAGTTGCTCTATAGCTGCTTCCTTATTGCTGATTTCCTGCTTATGCGTTTCTATTATTTCTGTTAATTCATTGGTGGTTGTATTATTCGCTTCTTTATGCTTTTGAATCACTTCCTCTAATTTCGCTAATTCCAATGACCGGTTTTTAATGGTTTCTGTGTACTCAGCAGTGATGTTAATTAATTCGTTTTTGGTGTCTTCTAATTCTTTTGCTAGTTTGGAAGTTTCTTGGGAAGAAACTTGCAATGAATTCCTGAGTTCTTCCAGTTCTTTCGTTTTGTTTGAAGCATCTTCATCTTTTTGTTTCATTAGCGATTCGAGTTCGTTCAATTTATTTAAATTGGTATTAATAATGTCGTCTTTTTCTTTAACGTTAATGTTGAGTTTTTCGATTACTTGCTCCTTTTCACTAATTTGCTGTTTGTGAGCTTCGATTAAAGCCTTATCGGAAGCTACATTGGTTTCTTTCAAGTTATTGTTTAATTCTTCCAGATTCGCTAATTTTAACGAGAGCTGTTCGAATTCTTCTTTGTGCTGAGTAGTTGTTTTGTTTAAATCGGTTTTAGTATTGTCTAATTCTTTTGCTAGTTTTTTGGTTTCTTCATTGGAAGCTTGAAGGGAGTTTTTGAGTTCTTCTATCTCCTTAGTTTTGTTTAATACGTCTTCGTCTTTCTGTTTTATCAACGACTCGAATTGTTTTAATTTACTTAAGTTTTCGTTAATTGTGTCTTCTTTCTCCTTAACATTGAGATTTAGTTTATCTATAGCTTGTTGTAGCTCGGTGATTTGTTTGTTATGGGCTTCTAGTAACGCGTTATTCGAAGCCGCGTTCGTTTCTTTCAAGTTTTTGTTTACTTCTTCTAGATTCGCTAGTTCTGATGAGAGGTTTTCGATTTTTTTGTTGGATTCTGTTGTGGTTTTAGCGAGTTCGCCTTTGGTGTCTTCCAATTCCTTAACCTTCAATTTTAACATTTCCATAACATCGTCTCGTTCTTTCTTTAAGTTCTTCTCTGTATCGCTCATGTTTGCCTGATACTGCTGCAAGTTGTTGGAGACCGAATCGAAATCGATTCTCATCGTTTTCAGTTCTGTTTGTAACGATTGTATGATCTCATCTTTTTCTTTAACAGCTAATTCAAAGGCGTTTATGTTTGAATTGAGCGTTTGTAGAGAGTTTTCGTGTTCTTTTTTGTTTGCTTCTAAAATCGATTCGATCTCTGATAGTTTGGTACAAGTGTTTTTATGCTCTTCTTGTAGTTTGTGGTAATGATTTTCACGATCTTCTAGAGTGCTGGTTAAATTCTTTACGGTCGAATTTGTTTCGGTTTGCAGTGTTTCGTATTGATTATTTTTTTCTGTTAATTCGAGTTCTAGTTTCTGCAATTGGGTATTTATGGTTTCGAATTGGGTTTTCAAATTTTCGTGATCGGATAGATGTTTAGCCAGTTCTTCTTCTTTTTGTTGAAGCTTAGTTGATACGTCCGTAAGCTCTACTTCTTTAGAATTCTGTGTGATTTGGTATGTCTTTTGAATGTCTTCCAGCTGAAGTTTTAATGAATTTATTTCGTTTGCCAGTTTTTCATTTTCTGTTTTCGATGCTTCGTGAGTTACCAGTTGTTGTGAAAGTTCTTCTTCCTTGCGTTTGATGGCATCAGATAATTGATTAATTTCGGCACCTTTGGATTGTAGAGTATTATTGTAATCTTCGATTTTACCATCGAATTCAGCCTTCGTTTTGACTAGTTCGTTTGAAACAGATTCGTGATTATTTTTCAGTGAATCATACTGGTTATTAATTTCAGTTAACTCCTTTTCCTTTAGTTGAAGTTTAGAATTAACTTCTTCTAATTGTTGGCAGTTCCCGGCAAGTTGAATTTTCAGCTCTTCCATTTCAACTTCCTTATTTTTCAACGTTTCCCGAAGGGTTCCTAATTCAGCTTCCTTTGTGCTTGTGCTAGTTTCTTGACCCTTCAACATTTCTTCGAACTTTTCGATATCGTATATTTTTGAACTCAGCTCCATTTTCAACTTATCGATTTCTTTCTCCATGTTGGTCTCAGCAGTAAGTTTGTCGTTTGTCACGTTCGCTATGGTTGATGACTTTTCCTCGATGATCTCGTTGGCTTGTAAAAGCTCTTGTTTTATTCTATTAAATTCGTCTTCTTTTGCTTTATAGAGATTTTCCAATTCGGTGTATTTCAGCTTGCTTTCTTGTAGGTCTTTGTTGAAATCTTGAGTGATTTTGGTAATTTCCTGCTTCAGAACATTAATGTTATCGGTTTTTTCCGAAAGATCGATTTTGTATTGATCTAATTCTTTTTGTAACGACGTTACTAGAACTGAAAATATTTAATTAAAAAGAAGCAACGAAAAGTTTTTAGCTCCTTCAACAATGCTTGAATCTGACACAGAAAGCGTGCAAGTAAAATGGATAACTTATAACAGTCGGTGAAAAATAATAGGGCATTGCTGAAGGATGTTTTATAAAAATATACCTGACACAGTAGCCTGGTTTCCTTCCAAAGCGATTTCCTTGGTTTTAAAATCTTGCAGCTGTTGCTTTAACAGATCTATCTCTTCTTTGTACTTTATCAAATTTTCTTCTGCTTCGAATAGCTTGTTGGCATCGTTTTCAAAATTATCAGTTTTTTCTTTTTCACGGGTTAGCTCCTCTTCCAGTTCTTTGATTTTGGTAGCATCGCTTTCGAACTTGGCCTAAAAGAAAAATTAGTAGAGAATTCGTTCTAATACGGTTTTGGAATGCGAATTTACCTGCAATTCGTCTTTAAATATCGATACTTCCTCTAATCTAAACTGAAGGTCTTCATTTTTCCGCTTTTCTTCTTCTAACTGGGAAGTTAGCTGGCTAATGGTTTGTTGTAATTGTACTAATTGCGCGGGTTCGATGGCGCTTTTCTCATTTTCATCTCGATACTAGAAATGTAATTGAATATTGCAAAATAAACGCAATAAAAATTGAAATTAAAGGGTGGAAAACTCGCATATTTTATTAAATACCTTCTTATATTCCTGCTCCACCATGGTTAATTTGTGTTCGGCTTCTTCCCGTTCTTTTAAAAGCTGCTCAATGTGTTGCTGTTTTTCTTTCAATACATCCTGTAAATATTATTTATTTACTTATTATTCAGTCGTTTATTAATGCGCTAATGAGACGTGTGTCGGTTGAATTCAAAGTAAACGAAAATAACAAAGCCACATTTTTTCGTTGTAATTATGTTGTCAGTATAAATGAATTTCCAATCAATTAAAATATCTATAATTATATTAATTGTTCTAATAGAGCCACACCTGCTGCATAAGACTAGAAATAATCATGGAGTTTTCCAACTTCTTATATCAGAATATCATTTTTCTATTGAGATTTCATATACTTTTGAATTATTTTATATTTTCTACAAGCTTCGAATACTTTTGATTCAAATATAATTCTATAACATATATTTAAAATATTTTGGAATTGTTTTCCTGTGACATATATTATAAGTAAAACTTTTACTTTTATCCCCTCTTTTTTACGCCACTAATCTTTGAAATGTAAACCTTTTTCACTTTTCATGCATATATCAATGAAATTATTGAAACCATTATGAATATTACAAAAGTTATGACTTTGAAGATTCATTTTTTACAGCATGTCTGCACATAAATTAGCAAACTTTTCAGACATACATTCATTAAAAGTTTAATATGTACCGATCGTTCTAATTTTAATCAATTATATGCATTTCCCGGCACATTCTCTTTCGATAGAGTTCGTACTCTAATTTATTATTACTTTTTATTATATTTCAGTGTATTATTTCATATTAGAACAATCTTTACAAGGCTAAATGATCATCAGTTCATGCTTTAGGTTCAATTCCTTTTTTAAAATCCTGTACTGATGAAAAAATACACTAGTATTACAATACAGCAGGAGAAATAAAAAACAAAGGTAACCAAACTTTATTAACACAACAATAATAAACTATAAATATAGGAGGAATGGTGAACAATAAGTAAAACATGGTAAGTATATTTTATTGTAATAGTAACAAATAAATAACAAATTATTTTTTATAAAAAAAGCCAAGTTAAAAATATAAAGGTAATAAAACTAACAACATTAAAAAAGTTAATACAAATATATCTGTAGTGTTATTTCTAGTCATAGTGAAAACCCTCAACATATTATGTGGTTTGCTATTTTCGTTTTTAATTATAAAACCTTCAGTAAGTAGTTACCTGCAAAGCTGTCCTCGTTGGAAGCGGAGTACTTGCCGATTTTGGAGGAGATTTCTGATGAATAAATTAAATCATAAATACTTTATTTATTAAGGACTAAGGATGATAGTTTTACTTGAGAAGGGTTAAAGAATAAATTTAAACAATATAAAACACAAACCAACAAAAACAACAAATAAAAGAACGTAATTAGTAAAATAAATAAAAACCATCAAAAAATAAAAAAGCTAGAAAAGACAAATAAAAATCAAAACACAGAAGCATGCCAAACCAGAGAAACACATTAAAATTACAAACGGTAATCAAAATATTTCTTATACGCATTAAGTAATATTTCGAATATACGTAATATTACACAAATTGTGTCATGCAGCGTGAAAATTACAGGTTGGTTGGTGTCGAATATTCAGAATCTAAAAATATATCGTATTATTACATATTCAAACCATGCCAATTATTTCACCGACATACAAAAGAACTACATTATACAATTTTTAAAACCTCTTCACGAACATAATAACGCAAATGATAAATAAGAATTATAGTAAAATTTATACAGTACGACAATTTAAAAATTTACAATGGCTATATCTCCTAAACGAAACATGATATCAAAAAATACCTAAAACCGTTTCTAGGATATGAATCACATAAAAAAAATCACATAAAAATGAATTCACCCCCATCAACCCCCTATGTCCCACGTATCCCAACTATAGAAATTTAAATAGCAATACCCAACTTGTAAAACATCATTGAAATGATTATAAAAAATGCTATTCAATGGTATAAATAATAATTGTACAGGTTGTATAAATAATTATTGTGAAACCTTGCCTTAAAAACCAAATATATTGAAGTTTGAAAACACCATCGAACCGTTAATTGTGCATGAATTGGAAAACCAAAGGGACGACCAAGGCAATCTAGCTCTAGACAAAGATTTGCTGCACTTCCAACAAGATGGAGCACCTCCTCACTATACAGCTGCAGTTAGGCACTGGTTGCAAGTTTTCACAATTATTGATTCACCCTGTACAATTATTATTTATACCATTGGATAGCATTTTATACGCTTTTCAAGGATGTTTCACAAGTTAGGATTGCTATTTAAATTTCTATAGTTCGGGTACGTGTTGTCTAAGGGGTTGATGGGGGTGAATACTTTTTTATGTCATTTTAGTTGCCCCTTCATATCCTAGAAACGGTTTTAGGTATTTTTTGAAATCATGTTTCGTTTGGGAGATATAGCCATTGTAAGTTTTTAAATTGTCATATTGCATAGACGATCTTGGCATGGTTCGTTACAATACGACTTAAAAAATTCAACACTTCCCTACCTTGGGACTTAGCGACGTCACCCCGAGTCTTACCCTTCTAGCTGTCGACGTGGCGCTCGTAATCGACATGGTCGATGACAGGGACTCCTTGGAATTCACCCTTCTAATGCCCGAAGGCGGTAAGCCTGCGGAGCCGTGAATTTCGCAAGGCTTTACTTTCGAAGGGGATTTGCTTACTTTATTTACCGGCGCGAAAAGACCGAAATTTGGACGACAATCGAAGTATCTAAAATTGCAATGGTTATTTTAGGTGCTCGTATAAAGGTAGGTGTAGTGTAGTTGAATAAATAGTTTCTAAGTAAACAAAACTGCAATTGGATTTTTATAATAGCCTACAATAAAATTACGAAACCTTGAAGTTGTTTTCCAAATCGATATTGTTGAGTTTATTTTCGAAGAATGTGGATTTTTACAACCTATTAAACGTTTATTATCGGCAAATTGTTTATCGTTGCGTTGATTTTAAGATTTTAATTCGTTGCCTTACAAAATGGCAATTAACACGAAAACTCTATGCAATATAATCAATATCGCTGATTGAAAAATCAGCGAAAATCTACCAACCTTTTTCCGTTAACAGAACCATCGTTTTTGCCTCTAGGTTCTATCAATTCGACTCCGACCCAATCGCCGGGCGCGAATTCCGTAGCACCCATATACCTGACGATGCCGATTTTGGAACCTTGGCTACTTTTAACAATAACTCTATCGCCAATTCCGAAATCTATGGCGTGCGAAACAGCCGATGACAGACTTATATTAGAACCAGCTAAAAATATTTTTCGCATCAAAACTCTCGCTCTCTATTCGATGTGATGGTACCATTTACCTACTGATATCGGAGACCTCATCAGGCCCTTGGTGCTGCCCGTTGGGGAAACCGGGCTCCTTCTGACGTTGACGGGGGAAGGCGTGTGCGCCGGACTAGCACCTTCCAGCGGTTCCCTCGTGAGTCGGGTCAATCTCGAAAATACGCCCTTCTTGGGCTCGCATTGGAAATATCGCGTGCCGCCCACGGAACCGTCGTTTTTACCTAACATATTGGAAGGTCGCGTGATATTGGTAATCTCGTGGGGCACGTGGTACTTACCAATAGGTTCGTCTAAAGCGATACCGGCCCATTCTCCTGGTGCGAATTGGGTTTCGCCAATAAAAGCGATTGGCCCCGGTTTCGTGCCGGAAACCCAAACTCTTTGGCCGATAATGAAACTGTCGGTATCCTCTGTGAGGATTGCGCTAGAATCTGTATAAACAATGCGATAATTTCACAGTTTTTTTAGTAATATAAACGATTTATTAATTAATAAACCCTTTGACCGCATTAGAAAAGGCGTTATGTTAGAAAGCGTTTATACTCGTTAAAATCTTTATTGCCGAAATACAAAATTATACATTGGTAGAGAATTTGTCTGTATATAACATAACAAAAATATTGTATAACATATTACATATTGATATTGTAAAAATAGTGTAGACTCAGAAGGATGTGATTCATGCCTAATTTTTAAGAAAGAACATATTTTCTAACACAATATCAAACAAAGAATACATGATTTTATACTTACGCAAAGGATGTTGAACGTTAGAACACATTCCTACTTAATTAAGTTTAAGTATAGAAACATTATTTTTTAACATGTGTTTGCTAATATAACCACAATGTTATGTAAATATTTGATTGATAATATCAGATGGGTTTTTCGCTCTAATTTAAATTTCCCCCAACAGACATTACTTCGATAATAAATTATAAAAATCAGTAAAACTATTAGCACAAATTTCAATAAAAATGTTGCATTGTACTACCTATTTTCTATTGCTAATAGCCAAAACATCCATTAGATACGCCGTATTACTTTTCATTCTATACTTAAACACAATCAATAGGTAAATACGTATTAGTCGGTCATTCAGCTATTACGAACATTATAACAATACATAAATATAATTTTTGTTAAATTATCCAACCAGTTACATAACGTATTAACGAGCAATTTTTTATCTACAGTTCCGATTGGATGAAACAGATTTTTTCTCAAAGGAAATTAACTAACCATCACGAAACCGATTAATTATAAATTCTAATTAAGAGTTGTCAGGCACGTGAGTACAATACTTAAATAATTTCGATATGTACAATCAAAAAACCTTACGAAGCAGAAGAGATAATTCAATATTAATTGGGTTTTAATTGTAATCTACTATGAAATTGGTTACGCGATTATGTATAAATATAACCTATTTTTTGAACGTATATTTGATTAACTTACTAATTAGTTTATAATTTTTATATGATGCTTGAAGTGAGTTTTCAATCAACATCTCGATGGTGCAAACTTGAAAGTGATAATTTACGGCAAAATGGCCCAAAGCCAAAGATTTCAAAATGATAGTGTCGACAAGACTAGTAAAATTAACCATTCCCAATATTGCGTAAAATATTTTTATAATGTTATAATGTAGCGTAAATATTATTTTAATCGTGCAAATTTTCGTAGAATTTCAAAAATTCTACATTTTATTATAAATTTGAAAATTTCTTAAAATAGGATTAATAGCGGTTTATGAGTATTTATCGAATTTATAATTACGTGGTTATTAAATTGTAAATCTCCAACCTTTGAAATTACCTGAGTGCCGGCTGAGCCCAGCTTCGCTCAATCGGTGTGGATGGGCGTCCCATAGAGCGTCTAGGGATGAAGCAGTGCTAACCAACTATACAAGCAACAGAGAAAGCTGACACATTTGCATGCAATAACGCAATGCACACATGCAGTATGCAATATGCAATGTGCAATGAGCAAAAAAAAAAAACTTAAAAGCTAATAAAATTGGGTGATAAAAACGAAAAATGCGTCTTCCAGAATAATCTGGTGATATTGACAAAAAAGAAATAAAAAGGTTTTACTACACCCTATATTAGTGTACATATCCCTGAGAGGGTCTCTGATGTAGGTACATATTTTTCACCTTAAGAGTTTATGGCTTGTTTTTATCGAGCAATATATCACAGTAATAAAACCTTTTCGAAAATGCATATGCTTAATAATGTACAAAAATAAACTGTGTAATAGCAACTAAATGCAACTAAACGATATCTACTGTTTTGCAGAAATTTTTAACCCAACGTTCATAATTTTCCTATTAAAAACACAACAAAAACAAGGACATTTATTAGTAACAAATGATAATTTAACATTTCACCAAAAATCCAACTTACTTGAGGAATATCTGTTACGATTTATGTTGCCTCCGAGTTATTTGTAAATCGAACGAATATATCGTCTTCATTCTCTTCCAAAACATCTACGACATGCAAATAAACATACAACAGAGAAGAATAAAGCATTCGTGAGGTGCTCACAAATGTGCGGTTAAAACACTTTGGAAATAAATTTACATTTTATAGTAAAAAGGTCTCTGCAATGTTTGTGACATAAATACTTGAGGGTTTTAAAATGAATTTCTTAATCGGCAATTTTCTGTAATTTTATCATTTATCACAATCATCAATTATATTGATTGAAGCAATAGATCAGTTCGAACCAATTTCAAATAATTTATATCACAATTACATGGTTCTTTTGTAGAAAAATAGCTTCAAGTACAACTATAAATAATATAAAGTATAAGAAAAACGCAGTTGTGTAAATTTTTATCATAACAGGAGTACTTTTTAAATGTGGGTAACACATGAATTTGATTATTTTAAACAGTTACGTACCATGCAATCGGTGTCTTCCAAATTCATCGATAATTTTATTAACGGAATCGTCCGAACTATCTGAAAATACAAGCAATTAAAGAAATATTCACAAAAATTACACGCAAATAAGCCAAACTAATCATTATTAATACAAATCAAGATTCCTTGTTTAGAAGCGTCTACAGAAATTAATTTTAATCCTACTGTCAAGCCAACGGAAAATAAAATTATTATAATGACTAATTTTCTTTCCGTTTTGGAATAATAACCGTTTTATTCGACGTTTAAATTTAATAGCACATCTAGCGTAAATAACGCCATCATGCCGACCAGGCGTTAGAAAAAGGCTCCAATAAAATCGAAATTTATTAACAACACTCTCTCTGAATATGATAATATCAAACGATAACGGTTTGTTGGTATTTAAATTGCGTATGCGTTCGAAACTAATGCGTTATTTATTCATATGCGCGAAATAATTTCGCAGTTTCTCTTTACCTGCATGCCTACATTACGTTAACCTTTGGAACTGCTATTAGATGCACCACGTCTAGCTATTAGCCATCGACAGTGGTATAGGTCATGCAAAAGGTTGCAAGCGATGTGCTACAGTCAGGGTCTCGTTTAAAGTTCGAGCTTTATTATTAAAACATACCTACATACCTCAGTTTCATTTATTGCAAATTAAAAGGAAATTACTTAATTCGTACATTCTATTCAATTTATATTATTCTCACCGTTAATGAAGAGATTTAGGTATTATGTGCGTTAATGATGCTATAAAGAATGGTCGCAGTTTTTCAAGAAATAATAAAAATAACCGCCAAGGTTGTTTCGCTATTATCCACTGTTGTTTTCTGTGTATGTAAATCATTCGTGCAGATACACACGTAATGTATGTGATTCGACAAAAATGTAATGTACATTAGATTAGTTGAAGGTTGACGCGATCAATCAAGATCTTAGTCAGACATCTTGGAATCGAAAAATTTTCGCGTGGTTCCATTGTTTCATCATTTTTCTGCCATTGATTTTCCGGTGGTAAAGCCGACAGCTGTTCGACATCGACGGTTCCGGATGATTTGACAATCGCGCTTGGGCGCCCATCGCTTTTAACAACTATTTTTTGCGCTAATTTCGAGATACAAATAAACAACCTAACAGGACTTTTCGTTAGGCATGTCAAGGCTGCTGTACAACAAGAGTACATGAAATATCATCAAAAACTAACCGGGCCAATAAAGAATCTAAATAGGGACACCTGGTATTTTATTACATTGAACTCCCTTCTCGTTATTGAAGCGAATAATAAATTTTTTCCCGATATCGAAACGGGTTACACGCCTAAGTGCCCGTTGAAGTCTCCGTATTCCTTGACACACCGCGTATGTGCAATGTACATAATTTTCAACGGCAAGGCTAAGCCGCGATATCGATAAAAAAATACGGAGTCGCGTGGGCGTAACACGTCGAATTGATATGTTCGAAATGTTCAATTCGCTGGGAATAAGTCAAACGTG